AAAAAGTCAGAAGTGGTGCTGTGGCTCAGGTGGTAGAGTGTTAGTCTTGAGCACAAAGAGGCTCAGGGACAGAACCATGAGTTCAAGCCCCAGGACAGGCAAAGATAAAAAACAAAAAAAAAATTAATATTTGAAAAATGGCACAGTCAGATAGGCCTGAGTTCAAATCCAAGGTCTGGCAGCCTCTCACCGTATACAACCTTAAATAAGTTGCTTAACATGTCTGTTGTCCATTTCTGTATCTTTAAAATGTGGATATCTACCAACCACTGAATATAGGTAGCATTAATAATAACAATAAGAGACAATAGACATTAGGCATTTTCTGTGAATCCTAAACACTTCATGTATACTAACTCAGTCCTCCTAACAGTCCCATGATGGCTGCACAGGCCTTTGGGCTCCCTCCTAAGTATAGCCTTAGACCTTTCCAACTTAGCTACTCAGTGGGCCAGGCTCATGCAACCGGGCCCCAGACACACTCCCCTGAATTCCTTTGGGCACAGTCTAAGGGCCAAGGCCCTGGTTGGGCCACTGGCTCCAGGAAGGCCCAGTCACCCATGATGCCCAAAGGCTCACTTCCACCCAGGGTGGGCTCTGGCTGCCCTGGTCTGGGCTGGGTTCCCAGAACAGGCAGCCCTGGCTGGATGGCTTTCCCTGGCTCTGGCTATGGGGACAGGAGGCGGCAGCAGCCCAGCTGGGCCCTGGCTGTAATGAGGCCTCATTAGTGGGATCCAGCTGCTCCAGCCCCACTTAGCAAGGCTGACTCCCCTAGCCCCAGCCTTTTGACTTTTCTTAATAAGAGTGGGCATCCTTCCAGAAGGGCAAAGATTCTAGGGACTTTGTTGTCCTCTGTGACTCTGGAGGGAAGGTCCTGCTGAGCTAGTATTAAAGAGTGCTAGGGACATGGGGATGACTAGGGGAAGCTGTGTACGGGAAGATGAGGCCATAGGACTGAGTATGTGGGCTACAGAGGAAGTGAAAGGGGAACGAAAGCAGGGTCTTAGAGTCAAAGAAGCCTGAAGAAGGCAGGGCCTTTTCCTCTGGATCTGGACATTCCATTTCACCAGGGAAGTGGTATTCGCACATCTAGAACCATCAGAAAATCATTGCTTAAGCTGTCTTGTATAGAAGAGCACTTTCTTATAGACTGTGTGCCATCACTGAGCTAGGAGAGTATCTACTACCATGTGCCAACACCTGGGTTAGAATAGTACTAGATGCCAGAAGCTGTATCAGCAAGAGTGCCCACTGTGTGTCAGGTCCAATACTGAGAGAAAAACATTGCATGCTAGATGTGTGCCAGGAGAACACCCACATTACCAGAATAATGCTCAATCCAATGCTGGAAGGGTACTGTGTTAAGAGAGGGCCCACTATGTGCCAGGCCCTAAGCTGAGAGTTCCGTGTGTCTACTCATGTCAAGTGAACCCCTGTGGTATGCTAAGTCCTTCACATGAGGTGAAAATGCCCATCTCTGAGTTGAATAAGCACCCACTGTGCACTGGGCACCATACTAGATGAGTATCCACTGGGTGGCAGGCTCTCCACTGAGTGCTCAGGGTGTGCCAAGTTTGTATTAGCTGAGCATTTCCCACATGTTGCAACTTGTGCTGAGTGCCCAGGGCTGATAGGGCCTTCTACCAAGGGAGCGCTCAACATGTGCCAAACCCTGTGCCTGGTGAATTCCCAACATATGCCAAGCCTATACTAGCTGAGCACTTGCTACATGCCAAGACTGGACTGGATGCACGAGCACTCACTGTGTTCTAGGCCCTGTGATGAATGCTGCAGACAAGAGGTCTCCAAATCCTCAAGTCAAAGCAGAAGGGTGGGGCAGGCCCAGGTGGCTGCCGGTGTTTGGAGAGTCTTCTGGGACTTAGAAGCTCTGACACCCACCGTCGTGGTATCTGGATGACTCAATCAAAATGTTCAAAGACATGGGAAGAAGCCAACCTGGCTCAGGCCAGGGGAAGAGACTGAAATGGCCAGCCTGGGAGCTTGGTGTGAGTTGGTAGGGTTAAAACTAAGCCAGTCAAGACTCTTCTGCCTACTCTCCTGAGCTCCCCTCCTCCAGCTCCTGTCCTTTGAGACCCAGACAGCCCTGCCCTACACGTGTACAGAGGCCCTGGGCCTCCATGGAAGGACCATCCCACCCACCCTCGGTGCCCCCGAGCATCCCAGCTGCTCCCAGCTCGGAGGTACCCTGGCCAGCTGGGTCCTCGCAAGGCCCTGTCCTAAGATCCACTGAGGCGTGAGGGAGGCAGCTGAGCTGGCCTGGCAGAGACCATCTGGGCTGGGAGTGGGGGTAGAGACATGTGCAACAAGCATGTGGGCCTGGGCACGTGCTGGGAAATGGCTGGCTCCTCTCTAGGGCACCTGCCTGAGAGCCCAGAAGAAGCTCCTGTGATGATACAGGGCATCTGTTGATACTGAAGAGACCTGAAACCAGAGGTAAAGGGCAGTGGAAGTGAGGACCTCAAGGTAGAGGCTAGTTGTCCAGCTCTTCGATAACAGGAAACAAACAGTGTAATAGAAGCCACAGAAAAGCAGGAAGTTCTCGGCGTCATCAGCTCACAGACACATCTTCATCATCCTCTCTTCTGACCCAGGAGGGCATCTAGTGATGTAGCATTTGGAAGGAACTTCCTCAGCCACTGGGCCTTAGGAAGACACAAACACCTAGCAAGTGCTGACTTAGCTCCATGTTAGTAAGCAGGGATGGGTCTTGGCAGGGGCTGGCTGTATCCTAGAGACAAGCTCTGAATGGAGCAGCTTCGGTTCCAAACTGGGACCCAAGAATAGAGTAGCCCAAGGTCATCAGCAAAACTGAACAAGAAGCAGGAATAGAAATCTCTGAGTAACCACCGGGGGTACCCATGGGACAGATGCTATGAGCTTCAAACACAGCAGTGGGTAGAAGGCAAAGGGCGGAGGGCAAGCCCCAGCTATCTTTAGGCCATCCTGGTGCTGGGAACGGGAGTCCCAAGGCAGCATTCCCTCCCACGGGCGGCTGGAAGGCATAGCACCGGTCCAGGAAGCTCAGCTGGGACCTAGTAACTCAGGCTCTCTGAGCTGCCCACATGGGTACCCCAATTCTCCTGCTTGCCAGCTCTCCTGCCTGCCAGCCCTGCCAGCGTCACTCCAGAGAACCATGGAGTGCTTGAAGGGGCTCACAGGGCTTAGTGTCTCAAGGGAAGGAGAGGGGAGGGCTGAGATTTCCCAGGGAAAAGGTGAGGTCCTGCTTAGGTTCTAACACAAGATCTACCTCCCAGCAAGAGTTAATATCATAAACTCTCCATCTGTGCCTAACCTGAGCATCTCAACTGATTCTAGATTGGCTCAAAAATCCTTTCAGCTGGGCACCAGTGGTTCAGCCTGTAACCCTAGCAACTCAGGAGGCTGAGATCTAAGGATCACGGTTTGAAGCCAGCCCAGGCAAGAAGTCCAGGAGGCAGTTATCTCCAATCAACCACCAGAAAACTGAAAGTGGCGCTGTGGCTCAAAGTGGTAGATTGCTAGCCTTGAGCAGAAGAGCTTGGGCAGCGCCCAGGCCCCAAGTTCAAGTCCCACAACCACCACTACCACTAACAAAAAATCCTTTCTGGTTTATTCAGACTCCTTGAAGAGCTGGATGCTAGAGATTCAGAATAGGATTGGACAGAAGCAGAATCACCCCATACCTTTCCCCAAACCATTCCTCTGAACCGTGTTCTCTAAATCCCAGAAATTTTTGGTGAGAGACTAGGTTAGCTAAGAGAAGGCTTAGCAGAGACCCCAGGCCAACTAGTCTTTAATTAAATGAGGGAAGCAACAGAAGGCATTGATGGGGAGGGCTGTCCTCTGTCACTGGCTTCCTCCCCTGACAGCTGTCCAGTCTGGCTCGTCCCTGAGGCAAGATTCTAAGACAAAAAATACAACCATAGCCCTCAGGATAGGCTCTGGCTTCTTTCTCTTGCTTCCTGCTTCCGGTGCCAACCTGCTCCATCCATCAATGAGTCTTGCTCCCTCAAGACCATTCCCCAGGCTCTTGTTTCTTGAAGGGCCTTCCCACCACCACTCCTATGCTCTGAAGTAGAGGACAAAGGAGGGGCCATGGCTTGGAGAAGGGGAGGAAGATTATTGAGGAGATTTCAGAAGAAAATTCTAACAAAAAGTTGGTTTTCTTGTTTTTTATTTTTGTTTTTTGGTCGGTCATGGGCCTGAACTCTGGGCCTGGGCGCTGTCCCTCAGCTCTTCACTGGGGCGCTGTCCCTCAGCTCTTCATCTCAAGGCTAGTGCTCAACCACTTGAGCCACAGCACCACTTCTAGCTTTTTTCTGCTTATGTGGTGCTGAGGAATCAAACCCAGGGCCTCATGCATGCAACGCCAGCACTCTACCACTGAGCCACCATCCCAGCTCCCCAAAAGTTTTTTTAATGAAATTTGCATGAGAAAGCACCAGAGAAGTAGAGAAAAACCAGTGTCAGAGAATCCCTGATGAGCACATACTTGAATGTGCCCTGAGGCACAGCACTGGGTGGGTAGGAGCTGCCAGGTGCAGCCGTGGCACAGTCCTGGCTGTTCTCTCCTCCTAACAAGAGGAGCTGTGTCCTCTCCAGAGCACCTATCACCAGGACAGGCAGTGTGCCTTCCTGCGCCCTTCCCAGCAAGACTTAGCAGGGTTTCTGGTGGAACCTGCCCAGCTGTGAGCCTAGAGTTTGGTGCTGTCTCACTTGCTGGGTGAGGGGCTGCCTGCCTGGGGATTGGGAGAGCCCTGGTAATTGGAAGCCCTGGCAGTGCCAGCCCTGGTCTAATAGAGCCTCCTATACCCTCCCTTGTGCCATAGCAAGTAATTGGTAGGACCTCATATAGGGCTGTGTGTGCCCTTTACCTCCATCATCCTGGCCCCTGTACTCACCAACATCCCTTTGGCACCTTTTCCTACCATGGTGGCAGTGGGTGGGGGGCTCTGGAGACCTGGATCACACTCACAGGCTCTGCTTCCAGTGCCTTTCAGACAACGGACCTCAAGAGCTGTAGAAAGAATAGAAAGTAAGGTGAGACCTAGGCCCAGGCAGGCTAGGAGTGGCCCTCAGAACTCTCCAGAACAGGTAGTACAGAGCCCCACACTACCAGCTGGGAGGTCTTTGTGTCCCCCTCCCCCCTACTCCTTCAGCCTGGCCATTTTGCATCCTGCTCAATTCTGATGACCCTGGGGGACCAGCCCCTTCCAAGTTCTTCCCCCAACCCCTCTCCTGGGTCCTTTATTCTCCAGGCTTCCTGTCCCAATGGGCAAAGGTCTATTTTTGACTCTCCAGATGCCCAATCCTATAAAAGACAGAAAATGAACACAGAACTGGGACAGAGTCCAAGTCCTTCATCGTCTGTGTGAATGGCCACAGCCTTTGCCCAGGAGGGGAGTCAGCTTGGATCAGCACATGCTCCCCAACTTCAGCCCAACCAGCCACGATGGTCTTGCCCCATTCTGGTGCCATTCTGCTGCTCTGCACATGCCAGACTCACCAGGTGTAGCCAAATCTTCTTGCCTTCCTGGTTTTACACCAGGCTTACCAGGTGAAATTCTGCAAGTCCTTTAAACCTGGGCCCTATATGTCTTCTTCTCTCTGTACCCTTTCCTAGCACTCCACTGCCAGAATGAACAAATTGCTTCCTCCTTTCTGGATCATGCAGACTTCAACCTGTGCCCTTACCATCTCATATTAGACATATTTGCCTAGAAGTCCATCAACCACAAGCCAGTTCCCTGAGGGCTTGGGACTGGCTTTCTATTACTCTTCTGGGCCTAGCACCCAACACTGTGCTGGAGCTAGTAAGATAGTTGAAATGGTCGAAATGAAGGGGAACCAGTGGGACAGGGGCCTGGAATTCAGATCTGGTTTAGCATAGGATCTCCTAGGTAACATCGAAGAGCCCTCAGAGCCAGATGAGTTGGAAAGGTGTGCAGATAAATGATAGGATCAAGCCATGTGACAAAGCTCATAGGTTTAATAATAGAGATGAAAAAGGCATCATTTCTGACAGGCCTTAGGAGAAAAATCAACCTTCAGAGAGCCTTAACTCTCTCATGAAAGGATAGTCTTGGGTCAGATAGATGAAGAGGTTCAAACTCCACAGTGCCCGACCCTAAGGTTGATTTGGCTGTGCTTCTGAGACCTTCCCTGAGCAAACTTCACTGCCACAGCTCTTCCGGGTCACTCAGCCTCACCCAAGTTACCTATGAAAGCTACCACCTCTCACCCACAGGAAATCCCCGGAAGGATAAGGGAGAAGCAAGGAAACTACCTTTGCAAATAAGCCCTTGACTTCATTAAGCCCTTTGCCTTGAATCATCTGATCTCTTATAGGACTTGTCTCTTTAAAACAAGTAAGTGAAGAACTATGTGAACCACTTTTTCCTCCTTCCTTCTCTCTCTTCTTCCTTCATCTCTTTTCTTCTTTCCTTCCTTTCTTTTATTAATTATTATATATATATATATATATTTTGGTCAGTCATGGGGCTTGAGCTCTGGGCCTGGGCACTGTCCCTCAGCTCTTCAGCTCAAGGCCAGTGCTCTACCACTTGAGCCACAGTGCCACTTATGGTTTCTGGTGGTTAAGTGGAGATAAGAGTCTCACCAACTTTCCTACCCAGGCTGGCTTTGAACAACGATTCTCATATCTCAGCCTCCTAAGTAGCAAGGATTACAAGTATGAGCCACCAGTGCCCAGCCTTTACATTTTCCATGGTACCCAAGGGTTCAACCTCAAACATGGCAGAGTCCTTGTGAAAATCTGCATCTTGGTAGTGGTCCCACTACCAGATGGTAGATGGGAAAGGAAGAGCACCATTTCCTTTTGCCAGTGATCAGGGTTTGCCTCTGCCCCTCAGTGTCTTCTCCCAACAAGATTCTGTTCACATCTTTGGTCTTCTGGCAACAGTTAGTTACAGAAGGAAGCTATGTCCTTCAGAAAGGGATTGTATCCTCGTCCTTCTCACCCCTGGCACTGCCGGTGGCCCCTCCCTAGCAGTACACTTTCCATCAGACTTCCCTAAACCTGTCATTGAAGGAGTAATAATGACAATGATGATAGTAATAACAGCAGATGGTGTTATTAAGAGCCACCTCAGGGGCTGCAAATTATTATTCCCTTTAGTCAGGTGAGTAAATTGAGGACAGTGTCCTGGGACTGAAGCTACATAGTGTTCTCACTCAGGTCATTTCAGAGTTCCTCATCTAGCTTCCAAGTGGAAAGACCAACCCAGGCCAAATGCCTAGCCTGGAAGCACTGAGCAAGTTTCATCTCTGACATCTCTGACTCAAGCCATTATAATCAGGCAGTCACCAGAATCTGTTCTCAGCTAGATCCTCAGTGCTAGCTGCCTTTAGGTGGCTTATGGATTACTAGAGCAAGAACACTTAGTGACTAGACCAGGAGAATGAGTTGGTTTAACTCTCTGCTGCTTCTCCTGCCTTTCTGTCTAACGGCCCTATCTATCCAATCAAAAAGTGCCAGTTGACAGAATCAGAAGGAAACAGGTGATAAAAATACAGCAGAGGAGGGCTGGGAAGGTGGCTCAGTGGTAGAGCACTTGCCTTGCATGCTCAAGGCCCTGGGTTCGATCCCTCAGCACCACATAAGAAAAAAAAGCCGGAAGTGGCGCTGTGGCTCAAGTGGTAGAGTGCTAGCCTTGAGCTGAAGAGCTGAGGGACAGCGCCCAGGCCCAGAGTTCA